GGGAAGAGGAGTGGGAGGTGAGATGAGGAAGGGAAGGCAGCCAATACAGGGTATGTTAGGGGCAGGTGACAGCGAAGGGTCACCAGAGCTCAGTGCTGCTGGGGACCTCTAGGAGACTGTGTGGAATGTGCCTCAGAGATGTTCCGCCCCGGCAGTGAGGAAGAAGTTGAGGTATTTGTCTTCCATGCCCCTCTCTAGCATTGGTTGGGAGCTGCTCTCTGGGGCATTACTTCTCCAGCGTGCCTGGTCTGCCCCAGACAGGGGCAAGCACGCTCCTATAGCAAGTCAGCACGTGCAGGCTGTCAAAGGTGCCAAGGGGTATGACTGCTCATGCTAGAGCACTCACTCATTCATTCACTCATTCATTCATTCACTCATTCTCCCAGCAAACATGTCCTGGGTGCCGACTCTGTGCCAGGTACCAGGCTTCCTCTGGGGATTCAGAGTTGAGCAAAATACAGTCTCTTCCAAGAAGGGGTTCCCAGGTGGTTGGGGTAGAAGACAAGGAAACACATAATTACGTTGCAGCACAATAAAAGCTATCATGGATGCATTCACGTGGGGACATAATGCTGTCATGGAGAACAGAGAGGAAGCGGTTCTGAGCTTAATAACTTACTGACGACAACCACAGCTTATCTTGCACAATAGAAGTTGAAACAGAGCCTAAATGGTCTCATTCTGCCCTTTGGATGTTTTAGACATTATCTTCCCTTTTCTGTTGCCTGTGCTGTCTAAGACTGCTCTTTTTGGCTAGTTTGTGAAGAAGTTTGGGGATTTGGGATGTGGCCCCTGTCTCCACGGCATTGTTTGGGGACAGCACGGGGAATGTTTTTGCCCTTCTGTGTGGGTGTCTTTCTGCAGACAAGAAGCTAGGACCTTCTCAGGGAAGGGGTCTCCCTTGGGGATTTGGCTGTCTCTGTCTCTCTCTCTCTCTTCAAAATAGAAGCTATGGCTTCAATAGCAAAACGGCAGCTCCCTGAGGTCAAACTGGAAGGGAGCTTGTTGAGATCAAGGGTGATTCTCTCCAACACATGCTCATTCCGCTTGCCCCCTCCCCCCTTTCTCAGGGGATCCCTATATAGTCATGCGCCGCATACTGACATTTCTGTCAACGACAGACCACATATGGACAGTTGTCCATGAGATTAGAACCATAGAGCCTAGGTGTGTAGTAGCCCATACCATCTAGGTTTGTGTAAGTGCACTCTGTGATGTTCACATAATGACAAAATTGTCTAAGGACACATTTCTCAGAACGTATCCCTGTCGTTAAGCGACGCATGACTGTACAGGGTAGCATCAGAGAGGGCGTTTGGAAAATCAGCTCTCTGATGCTAACTCGTTTTTCTTACACTTAGAAGCAGCCCCAGACTGTTGCTTCCAGAGGGTCTGGGAGGTGGAGGTGCTGGAGACGGGGCAGGGCAGAGCTGGAAGCCTCACACTGGAGCTGCACACGGGGCTTGGGGCAGGGCCAACACCTGACAACCCCCAGACAGGAGAAGCAGCCCATCAGCCGGGGTCTGGGAGTTAGTCTCCTCTCCCGTCCCTTTGCTCCAGAGCTGGCCCCTCCAGGGCTGGCCTTGAGTGGTGTGATTTATGGGAACAGCAAGTGCTCCAGGAGGGGAGGTCTAGAAAGAAGGCTCAGGCGGGTGCGTCTCCTGGTAGACCCGAACCCCTCCCACTCTTAATTCACCCTGTCCCACCCCGGAGCACCCTGGAGGGGCCGTTTCTTTCTACCTGAAGCCGAGACAGGCATCTCCCTTGGTTTACAGGCTCCAGGGGCGGGTGGCTCCTCGGCTGGTTGCTAAGGTATCTTTTAAATGGAAATCAGGGTGGAGAGATATCACATATATCGCGCCAGCCATCTGCTAAATGCTGCCTCTTCTGTCTGGAACAGCTCGAGGTGGTTCTGACAGGCAGACAGGGCCCAGGGGCTGGGTGAGGGGGCGGGGGAGGAAAGTCTGTGGTCTCCTCGTCAAGGGAAGAAGAGGAACTTTGCTTTTCTGCCTCCACGTCCCTTAGTTTTCCACTCTCTGTCCTCATCTTTCTTTATTCCTTTTGTTTTAAATATAAATTCCATCTGGAGATTCTGATTACACACCGTGAGCATAGTTCCACAACTCTATATTTGTTGCCAGTATATTTAAGTGTGTGTGCATGTACGTGTGTGACTCACCACCATGGGGCCTGACAGGTGGGTCTTTCTGAGCCAATCAGAACACTACCGTTCCTTCCAGGCCCATCCCCGAACAGGAAACATGAGTGCCCAAATTTAGTACAACAGCTGGGCCATCCCAGGTTACTGAGCCATCCCGTAGTGGAGTCAGCTGGTTTATCTGTGTACACCAGGCACGCGGAAGCCTCCGGAGGGGCCTTGTCTACTCCAAGGACCGTCGGGAGCCAGACAATCCTCCATTCAAATCGGGGTTCTTCTCAGGGGAGCTGGGCGAGTTAGGGCAGGACCAAATGTCTTTGAACTTTCCAGTAGTTAAAATGAGGGTAGTAATACTCAGGGCCACGAGGGATGGTAGGGCAGGTTGCTCACTGCATAAGGTTGTTCAACTAAGGGGCCCTACAAATGCCCAGAGTGGGGGCACCTCTTCCAACTTGCACAAAAGCACCATGTGGGCTAGCGGCAGCACTGACCTTGAAGAGTTGTTGTGAAGGTGGCGTGGAGAAACCAAACTGAGGGTGGGAGGAGACGCAGTTCCTACCCCGGGGGAAACTCCCAGAGATGTGCTGAGTCTCTGCAGGGCAGGTCCAGAGGAGAGCATTTCTCTTCCTCTCCTGGCTCCTCTGTTTCTGCATCTCCTGGCAAACCCCACCCCCTTCCCGAGGCCTGGCTCATAGACATTCTGAGCAGACAAGCTCTTGCTCCTCGGCAGATGGATTCCTCCTATGAAGGCTGATTCTGACATTTGATACCAGCATCCATTTCACAGCCTCGCTTCTGATCACCACGCTCCTCTCTCAGCTTTGCCCGCAAATAATCCCGGGGCCCCTCCTGCCCGCTTTCATCTGTTTCTTTGTTCCTGATACCAGTCCTCCCCTCCTAATCTCTATCTCTCCTGGCTCGCCTCTACCACCTACACTGTTCCGGGGTGCTGAGAGGGACCTCGGTTGCCCCTTCCACCATTTGTTCAAATCCCTGCTCAAAAGAGAGAGCCCCCACCCCAGGTGTGCACTAATTAGGTGTGTGCATCCACCCAGTCTCCTCGCCTGCCGCCCAATTTGGGGCTTAAGCTGCTTTTTGTTTAGCTGGGAGAGTAATATATTAAGTGACTGTTCTTAGAATACAATTTTAATTAAGATTCAATAGTCACTTCTCTGTCAGTAATCTTCCATGCTGATTACTTAAAATATATTTACCCAGCTCTATTATGTCACAGATTTGAATTCATTAGACGTTTGTTAATCCTCAAGAAACTTTTTTTTAAATGTGGTTTGTTTAGCATAATTTACAAGGACAAAACTGTTTGAGACAATGGGCTCTGTTCAGGGTGTGCATCTCACAGACTACTCCCTGCTTGCCGCCACCTCCAGGGGGCAGGTGACAGAGCCGAGGATGGACAGGCCCAGAGGACACCATCCATCCATCTTGCGCTGATGCAGCCCGTCCCAGGCAGCCCCCCAGGACACAGGGCACCAACAGCCTTGGCCCTGGACTCAGATGCGCCTGACAAATGTTATCATTTCCTATGTGTGCCGTGATGGGAAATGCTGGGAAGTGGTGCTTAGCCCTTGAACACTGCAGCATTTACTGACAAGAGGTCATAAAGAAGACACCTTTCTCATGGGGCCACAGGCTTTCAGAACACTACCCCCTCTACACACACACACACACACACATGCATGCACGCACGCAGCCACCTCCAGCTTAGCTAGCAAGGGACATCCTTGGGAGTGGCTGTCCCGGTGTCCTCAGTGGGTGTAGGGGGTACCACTCACCTCTACTTGAGCAGATGCAGGAGCCAGAGAAATACGGCCTCCCTGACTCTAGGACCATGAGGAGTCGCACCGGAAAGCACAGCTGATGATTGGCAGAAGATGCCTCTGAATCTTCTGCTGTGACCAGGCCACTCCATAAAGAAGATTTCTCAGCTAATTAGCTAAATGAACCCCAGAAAGCGGTGATATAGAACTCAGAACCTCAGTAACAATGCCAGAAACTCACTTTGCTCAGCACTGTATTTCATTCATTCATTCAGTTGATATTTTGGGGGCAGGTACTTCCTATGAGTCAGATGTGGTGCTGGGTGCTGGGGATACAGTGATAGGTGGACAAGACAGGAAAGCTCCCTGCCTTTTGGAGTTCATCTTCTAGGAAGGCAGACAGGTAAGTAACTAAGGAATTATAATTAAAGTGTGATGAGCAATATGAGGGCAAGTGCAGGGTGCTAAGGGGCAAATAGCAGGAAGGCCTAGTTTGGTCTAGGTTTTGAAGAGGCTCCCTGGAGTAGGTGGTGTTTAAGCTAAGACCTGGAGGTAGAATAGGAGCTTGGCCAGGCAGGAGTGAAGGTAGCGGAGAAGCTGGGAAGAGACCAGAGCAGGTAGGAGGTCGTGGAAGAAGATCAAACAAGGCATTTATAATTGAGAGAGACTGAGTGTAGCTGGGACATGAGAAGCAAAGGAAGAGAGAGTGGTAAGAGAGAAAGTGGGGTAGTGGGCAGGATCAGCTCTTGCAGAGACTTTTCTCGTGCTAAAAAATAAGAAGTGGGGCTGGCCCAGTGGTGTAGTGGTTAAGTTAAGTGTGCTCCACTTTGGTGGCCCAGGGTTGGCCAGTTTGGATCCTGGGCACAGACCTACACACCGCTCATCAAGCCATAGTGCAGCGGCGTCCCACATACAAAAAATAGAGGAAGATTTGCACAGATGTTAGCTCAGGGCCAATCTCCCTCACCAAAAAACACATAAATAAATGAAAAGAATTTTTTAAAGCTTTAAAAAATAAGAAGAAGGTCAATGCATATGGAGCAGATTCCTGTTTGTTTTATCAGGCCCCAGCTAAGCATGGACCTAGAAGGCCAGAACACATTAGATCATGGAGAAGTTCGCAGGTGGAAAGCTTCTACATGTGGACACCACAGGTGTGGACGTGCCTGGTGGGATCTGGGCCAAGGTGGGCTGGTACCCCTCAGGGAGGAGGTCGGGAGAGCAGGGACTAGCCGGTGGGTAGTTGCTCTTGGGGGCCCAGAACAGACTGTGTGGAATTAGGCACATTGACACACACTTTTAATGAGGGTGATCATAATGAAGAAGAAGAAAAGGAAAAAAATCCTCTAGAACAGAGGTCAGCAAACTTTTTGTGCAAAGGGCAGGACAGTAAATATTTTAGGCTTTGCTGGCCACATTATATCTGCTGCAACTTCTCGCCTCTGTCGTTGTGGCATGAAAAAAGCCATAGACACCATGTAAACAAATGAGCATGGCCATGTTCTAATAAAACTTTATTTACAAAAACAAGTAGCTGTCTGGATTTGTCCCTTGGGCTACAGTTAGGCGACACCTGCCCTGACAGTGCTGTCCAATACGGTAGCCAATAGCCACATTGGCTAGTGAGCACTTGAAATGTGCTCTAAGTGTTCAGTATACACCGATTTTGAACACTCAGTACAAATAAAGGAGTGTTAAACATCTCAATAATTGCATTGATTACATGTTGAAATAATATTTTACATATAGTGGGTTAAATGAAATATATCACCAAAATTGATTTCACCTGTTTCTTTTACTTTTTAAAAATATGGTCGTTAAAAAATTTAAAATTCCGTTCATGGCTAGTATCACGTTTCAGTTGGACAGTGCTCCTCAAGAACAATACTCTCTCCTGATGAAATATAGAGGAAGTCTCTGGCCCGAAGGGTTTTGGGCAGGAGATTTACCCTTAAAGAGACTCAATAAGGAAATAGAAATCTTCACACTAAAGTAATATCTGATTGGAATAGATTTTTAAATTCACTTTATATCTTTTTTTTATCAGCTAGTTGTTTTGTCTGCATCTGTTCTCCTCAAACTGGGAATTATGGAGCTGTCCTTCCTCAAGATATTAATAGCTGTTGCTCAAAAGTTAAAAAAAGAAGGGAGCAAGACCAAATTAAACATTAATCCAGTTTCTTCACTGCAGCAGAATCTCTCAAGCTTCTGAACTTGCGAATGCGTGTAGAGCTTTCGCAAGAGTAAGCAAGAGCAGGCAGCGCTTCCTCAACTCCTTGGCCTTAGAAGTCTTTCTTGCAGAACCCTAATTAGCACTCCTAAAAGGCAATTCGAGAACTGCTGGTCTGCGTGATGCTACACAACCAGGGTGCATGATTTTCCAAAGGTCCAGCTCAACTGATGTTTGCAGCCCTGCACAAAGAGAGCCACTGTTAGTACAACATGGAGTAGTGAGAAACAGCAGGACTGGAAAGCACAAAGCCCTGAGCCAACAACCTGTTCCTTTCTTCCCTAGATATTCATTCATGCAAATGCACCTACTGTGTGCCAGGTGGTGCTTTAGGCCTTGAGTATATAGTGGAGAGTAAAAACAAGTCCCAACCTCTTGGGGCTTCGTTGCCAGTACAGAAGATAAACAACAAACAAGACAAGTAGTAAAATATCTAGTAAGTTGGATAGTGATAAATTTCAAGGAGAAAATGCAAAGCAGGGAAGGGGGCTCTGCATAGACAGGTGGGGCCCGGTGAAAAGGGCACTTTTGAGTAGAGATCTGAAGGAGGCTGTGAGTTGTGGACAACTCCCCCCTCTGCACACACAGGTGAGCCCTTCCTTGTGAAGGGTGTTCGTGAGGTGAGACGGTGTGTCTGAAGGTCCAGGGAGAGGACCCCGCACACTCTCAGAAGTTCCTGCCTTTGCTTCCTGCCCTTCTTTACTTCCCCTCCTTCACTCCTCTGAACTCCCAAAGATCCATCCCACTGTGTGGATTCTCCACGGTGAAGAATTCCCCACTCACCTTGGTGTCTCTCAGGGCCAGCTCTCTCCATGTCCACATCCTTGTTCTTAAGGAATGTGGGTCCAATTTCATTTCCTGCAGCCTCAACCAATTAAGAAGCCAAAACTACTTCAAAATACTCACTTTGCAAATCCAATGATGATTGGATGAACCACCGGTATGGTGTTATCCATCCACCCATCTATCCATTCATCCACCCAACAAACACTTATCGGGCACCTACTATGTTCCAGCCACTGTGCTAGACGCGTGGGACGGAGCAATGAACAAAACAGACAAAAGGACCTATCCTTCTGGAGCTGACAGTCTAGTGGGGGAGACAGGAAATATTCCATAACACACTCAATAAGTAAATTAAATAGTCTGTTAGAAGGTGATAAGAGCTAAAGAAAAAAGAAAAGTAAAACTGTGTTAGCGGGGTTGGTGGAATAGATTACGCACTGCACCAGCACATGCAACTCTGCTGCTCCCCAAAGCGGGGGGCAGTGTGAGGGAGGAAGCTCTGGGTGAGGGCATTAGGAAGTCACCTCCTGACCCTGACCTTGTGTCCCTCCCTTCCAGGCACCACGGCCTGAGTGACCAGACCATGGAGACCCTGCTTGGTGGCCTGCTGGCGTTTGGCATGGCGTTTGCTGTGGTCGACGCCTGCCCCAAGTACTGTGTCTGCCAGAACCTGTCTGAGTCACTGGGGACCCTGTGCCCCTCCAAGGGGCTGCTCTTCGTGCCCCCTGACATTGACCGGAGGACGGTGGAGCTGCGTCTGGGGGGCAACTTCATCATCCACATCGGCCGCCAGGACTTCGCCAACATGACGGGGCTGGTGGACCTGACGCTGTCCAGGAACACCATCAGCCACATCCAGCCCTTCTCCTTCCTGGACCTCGAGAGCCTCCGCTCCCTGCACCTCGACAGCAACCGGCTGCCCAGCCTCGGGGAGGACACCCTGCGGGGCCTGGTCAACCTGCAGCACCTCATCGTGAATAACAACCAGCTGGGCGGCATCGCCGACGAGGCCTTCGAGGACTTTCTACTGACACTGGAGGACCTGGACCTCTCCTACAACAACCTCCAGGGCCTGCCCTGGGGCTCCGTGCAGCGCATGGTCAACCTCCACCAGCTGAGCCTGGACCACAACCTGCTGGACCACATCGCCGAGGGCACCTTTGCCGACCTGCAGAAACTGGCCCGCCTGGACCTCACCTCCAACCGGCTGCAGAAGCTGCCCCCAGACCCCATCTTTGCCCGCTCCCAGGCCTCTGCTCTGACTGCCACACCCTTTGCCCCACCCTTGTCCTTTAGTTTTGGGGGGAACCCACTGCACTGCAACTGTGAGCTTCTCTGGCTGCGGAGGCTGGAGCGGGACGATGACCTGGAGACCTGTGGCTCCCCGGGAGGCCTCAAGGGCCGCTACTTCTGGCATGTACGTGAGGAGGAGTTTGTGTGTGAGCCACCTCTCATCACCCAGCACACGCACAAGCTGCTGGTTCTGGAGGGCCAGGCGGCCACACTCAAGTGCAAGGCCATCGGGGACCCCAGCCCCCTCATCCACTGGGTGGCCCCCGATGACCGCCTGGTGGGGAACTCCTCCAGGACTGCCGTGTATGACAACGGCACGCTGGACATCCTCATCACCACATCTCAGGACAGCGGTGCCTTCACCTGCATCGCCGCCAACGCCGCTGGGGAGGCCACAGCTATGGTGGAGCTGTCCATTGTCCAGCTGCCGCACCTCAGCAACAGCACCAGCCGTACCGCACCCCCCAAGTCCCGCCTCTCGGACATCACTGGCTCCAGCAAGACCGGCCGGGGAGGTGGAGGCAGTGGGGGCGGGGAGCCTCCCAAAAGCCCCCCAGAACGGGCTGTGTTGGTGTCCGATGTGACCACCACCTCCGCCCTGGTCAAGTGGTCGGTCAGCAAGTCAGCGCCACGGGTGAAGATGTACCAGCTGCAGTACAACTGCTCCGACGATGAGGTACTGATTTACAGGTGAGCCGGGGCTGCGGCAAAGGCAGGAGTTGGCTGGCAGGGGAAGGCGGAGGTGATGGGGAGGGCTTGGAGCTGTTCCCACCCCATGCCCCAGAGGTGCCTGGGGGGAGCCTGGGGCAAACTGAGCCATTTGTGCAGGTAGGAGGAGACAGGAAGAACATCAATTACAAGTTTCAGAAGAGAGGAACCCACATGGGCAGCCGGAAGACGTGTGGGTTCGAGGACCATGCCCCCCAGGGGCACGGCTGTGGTAAGCGGGCATGTAGCTATGAGCCTGCGAACTTTCTGTTTTGAGCCCCAGCTGGAGGACATGCAAGAACTCTTGTTCTTGGCCCACCTCTGGGCTGCAAGATCTGATCCTCCAAGGAGCAGTGAATCTGGCCTCCACCTGGCCTCCTGTGCAGTTGTGGGTAAGGCTTTGAGGTCAGCAAGAGTAGAATTCAGACCATGGCTCTGCCACTTGTTAGTTGTTTAATTCTCCTGGCCTGCCTCATTCTCCTCATCTGTAAAATGGGGGTAATTCATTTCTGTCTTAGTCTGGACACTCGGTTGCAGCCAATTCAAACTGGCTTACAAAAGAAGAAAGAAAAAGGGACAGGTAATGTGTTGGCTCATGTACTTGAAAAGTCAGGAAACTGCTTCAGGCTCAGGTGGATCAAAGGCCCCACAAACATCCTGTATTCTCAGTTTCTTACCTTCCCTCACTTCCATTTTCTTGTGGTTTGGTTTTACAAGACAGCCTCTTTCTTCTGAGCAGCCCTAGAGCAGGGAGAGTGTCCCTTTGTCCCTTCCCCAGTGGGCCCCACAGAAGTCCTGGATGAGCCGATGAGCCAGAGCAGGTCATGTGAGCCCCCTGGATATTAGAGGTGGCGTCATCCTGCCCACCTGTCCTGACCTCTCTGGGCCTGTCTCCTCATCTGGAAATGCTGCTGATGATGTTGACCTGGTAAATTTGCTCCTGGACCAAGGGGCCGTTTCCCAGGGCTGGTAGAAAGGGAGGTTAGGACTGAATGGCAGCAGTGGAATTGCATATGTTCCTCTGAGGGAGGGAGGTGCTCCAAGTGGTAGATAGAGGCCAGAGGGCTGGGACGTCTGACGGCAGATGCCTTCCCTTCTCAGCCAGCCTCACTTTGTGGTAAACACGAAGGGACGCGGCCTAGAACCTTACCACTCAAGGAATGCGTGGTTTCTTTTGAAACCCTGTGTTTTATTTTATGCATTTAAAATGATTATTCTGAGAAGAGATTGCACAGGCTTTACCAGACAGCCAAAGGGCCCGTGGTGCAGGAGAGGTCAAGAACCGAGATCCATCGCTGAGGTTTCTTCCAGCTCCGGCCGGAGTAGATGAGTCTCTGGATGGGAAGGGGCGGGGAGAAGAACATGAGAGGAAGGCGTTCATTCACCAGCGGAGTCCATGAGCCTGAGGGTGATGCTCCCGCAGCCGGAGGAGCCAGGGAGCTTCCCTACCCATCATACACTTGGCTTATCTGGAGAGTGGCTTCATTTTTCAGGATGTAGAGAAAGCAGCATTTGGACTGAGCTTAAATATGTGCATATATACTTATATAGAGAGATATAGATATAGATATATAAACTTAAATTTAATACGTATACCCATTTTTCTAATTATAAAAGTAATAGAAAATTTGGAAAATAGAGAAATGATAAAGAGGGAAATAAAAATTACCAGTAATCCCAAAGTGAACCAGACACATGTGGCCTCTTGGTTTTATTTCAATTCAAAACAATATTCATGATCAATCTAGTGTATGCTTTTGTTTCTTATTTCTTTCCACTCAATGTTATAGCTTGCTTAGTTCCCGTGATAGTAAAACATCTTTCATTTTTGGCTGTACCATAATTTATTTAACCAATTTTCTATTGTTGGACATTTACGTTGTTTCCCATCTTTCAATATTAATATAAGGCAGCTGTGGATATTTTTGGATGTAAATATATTTGTGCAACTTCAATGATTTCCTTAGCATATTGTCCTAGGGGTTGAATTACTGGCGTAAGGAGTAAATTATAATCTTCATACCTTGCATATAAATATTTATTTACCCTCTCGCCCATGGAGGGTGACAGTGCCCTTTTGACCACACTTTTGCCAATTATTGAATATCTAATCACTTTTACCTTTGCCGATTTTATAGGTGAAAAATGGAACCTGCTTTAATTTGCATTTCTTTGATGGCTTGTGAGGTTGACCTTTTGAAAATAAGTATATTTCTTCGCTTGCGAATTTATTATATGGTCTTGACTTTGATAAAAGTGTGAAGGCGAAAAGCTCCGGGCTGTGAGGCTGGCACAGGCACTGCGGGAAGGAAAAGGCAGCATGTGAGGCGGGGGGAGACGTTGGCATCAAGGCGGCCGGCGGCGCACTGAGGTTGTCAAAATGACGCCCGCCCTGGGGTCTCAGAAACCCTGGGAGGGATGCAAGAGTGATTGGGGCTGCGCTCCTGAAGTCACTCAGGATGGGCACTGAAACTTCTTCAACTGGTGATTGACAACCTGGAGACACTCGGTTTATAAATACAAATCAAATGAAAGCATGAAACGTTGGATAAAATGAAGGCAGGTAACAATGCTGACCTCCTCTTGAGGTGTCATGAGGACCGGAAGAGGCACAGCATGGAAAGCCCCCAACAGTGCGTTCACATAGTGACCAAGGAGTACAAGTTATTATTATTGTTAGTAAGAGCTGTAGTAACAGTAACGGTCAGAGTAGGAACATTGTCTTGTCCGCCATCCTGGGGAGGAGACGGAAGACGAAGGTTGGGTACACATTCAGTCTGTAGGAAGACAGGTTTCCAAAATCTTAGAGAAAAGGGTCGGGGGAGTCTGCAGGCAGCTAACAGTAACAGCAGTCGCTAGCCAACGTTGTTGCCAGCTTACTGTGAGTGTGACACGTAGCCTTACAGGCAGTACCTTTAATTCTCCTGGACACGCCGAAAAATAAAAAAGGCCGAGAGAATTCACCGACTGCCACAGTCACGCAGGGCTGATTTGAATCCAGGCCTTCCGGCTTCAGCGCCCAGACTCAGCCACCGCAGCCGTGCTGCCCAGGGTCCTGAGAGCAAGGGGAGAGTCAGAGAAAGCAACTGCAGGCTTTTAGAAAATGAATTGTCCCCATTGGAGAGAAAAGACACCAGCGGCTGCTCAGTGGCTCTCTGACGTGCTCAGACTTTAACAAGGAGGTGCACCAAAGAAGGGAAGAAAGGCCTATATCCAAAGATGAATATTAAAGAGAGTACAGACAGAGTAAAGGCAGCCAAAAAGGGCTTTTTAATCCTTGTCCGTATCAAGAAGAAAAAATGACAAAAGTCTCTGGTTGGGAAAGAGGTTGCAAAGAGACGGAACAAGAGCTGGCAGGCAAAGGCGCACAGTTTCCAATTTGCCTCCGCCCTCCCCAGCAAGGGGGACGAGAGCAGCAATAACAGTACCCACAAATCTGCCATAAGAGCTTGCTTGCGCCGGGCGCTGTTCTAAGGGCTCTATGCTCTTTGTGAGTGCCTAAGTGAGTACTAACTCACTTAGCTCCCCAAACCCCAGGAGCAGAGAACTGTGGCTATTCCACTTTCCCTGTGAGAAACTTGCCCAGCGTGCTACACAGGGGGCCGTAGCAGAGACAGAATTTGAACCCAGGCAACCTGGGGAGGATGAGACCAACACTACGAGAGGGAACCGAAGGCCAGCAGAGACATGGCACACTGCGGTGCCTGAGTTCTGGTCCCCAGTCCCCGAGGGTCACGTCCAGGACTGAAGGAACACTAGATGAGAGTCCCAAGCCCGAGGAGTGGTCATGAGACAGGGTGGACAGACGGAGACGTGCCTGAGTGCGGAAAAGGGCCGATATTCTGCTTTTCGAAGAATAGACTCGGGAAAGCACAGGATGCTAGGCTGGGCTGCAGTCACTGCCAAATTCTAGACAGGATTTCTCAACAGATGGCTGTAAGCCCTTGGAAAAGAATGCTGATCGCCAGGACCCGATATAGCTTCACAAGGTCCTGCCAAATTACTGAGCTTCTTCAGGAGACAGTGGGCCAGCAGCTCTCAACCTTCGAAGCTGCCTGCTCATCCTTCAGGAGGGCGAGTGTCCTCCGCGACAGTCCTCCATGACAGCCATTCTCTACTAGGCCCGGGCCCCAAGCGTCTCCACGGGCAAGTGGACCAGGATCTCTGGGGGGATAGTACGCTTCGAAACAGCCTGGGAGTTCCCATCGGCTGTGACGCACCACCATCAACAGTCTGTCACAATGGTATAGGACATTTGACAAAATCTCACACTGTGTTTGGGACAAAATGGAGAAATGTGAACTGGTGAGGTGGGCTTGTCGCTGGTCAAATAACCAGACTGATTAATGAATGGACGTGAACGTGCAAGACAGCCTCTGCCTCGTGCCTCAGCTTCTGCCCCCATTTCTGTACTGCTCGATATGTTTTCTTATTGACCTGGGCAACGACACAGAAAATATACACTCCTTTCGGTTCAAGGATTCAATGGCATGAGTGCAAAGTGATGAAAATCTGACTTGCCTGGAATTTTGTGGGGCATAGGCAGAGAGTTTTAGTTGATCTCAAGGACATCATGGCCACAAAGTGATGGAGCTGCTGAAAGACTCCCTTAGTTTTTGGTTGTGTTAACAGAAGTAAAGTGCTCAGATCATGGGAGGTTATGAGTCTAATCATTGAGTGCTTCAAGCTGGTCAGAGCTGAGCTGTAATATGTTCAATACAAGATGGCACAGTCTTAAGAGTCATTTTTGCCAACTGCCATGCATCCAGAGATCAGCTGGTGAGAATGGGATTCTGGAAGCTCATGTGAAATGGACAAAGGGGACTTTGGAGCTGAGAACTTAGAAAAGAAGTCATAGCTCCCTTAACTTATTCAAAGAACTTATGAGTAGACGAGAGGAAAAAAAAATACACACAGACTCACACATGAAAGTAGGCACCAGCCCTTTACAAGAAAAAGTTCCAACAGCACAGCTTGACACA